CCAAGTACAGTATCAAGACCAACCAAGCCACAAAATTTCAAGAAGTAAAATATGCTTCCCAGAATAAACTCTTGAATTGTTACAATCAGAAGAGCAACAATAGTTCAATCCCTGGTACACACCCCAACCCCACCACCAATAAAACAGCAACTATCCACTGGATAGAACAAATGAGAGATGTCTACCATTCTTGTCTGATTGATAGATCCAATTCTGAAGCCAACCAAAGGGGAAATTCTCCAAGAATTCCTTAACAGAATTATAGATTTTACCACCTTACTTCTTCCAAAAGAGGCACTATATGAAGTTGGTTTCTTTTAAAGGATTGTGCACACTTTTCCCCCATCTTCTATACAACAAACAAATAAACAAACAAAAACTCTATAGTTTTGTAACTATAAAAAATATATATCCAAAGCACATGGAAAGCATAATCCACATTACTTTGCTGGTTTAAACCAGTAAAACCAGAGTTATAATGACTAAACATCTTTATACAAATATGACTTTCTACAGTTGTATGCCTACATGCTGTTGCAGAAAATTGTATCAAATCAAAATCACAGTGAGATACCACCTCACACCTTTAGGATGGCTAACATCAAGAAAAGAAGAACACAAATATTGTTTGAGGATATAGAGAAATTCAACCTTTGCACACTGTTAGTAGAAATGAAAAAGGATGCAGCTACTCTGGAAAACAATATGGAGTCTTCTCAAAGTAGAATTAAAATAGAACTATCTTATATTCCCACCTCTGAGTAGTTATCCAAAAGAACTGAAACCAAGATCTTGGAATAGATTAGAGATATTAGAATTTTCAGAAAATACTAAAAATAATATTGAAAAATATTAACATTGCTATGTTCATTGCAGCACTGTTCACAGTAGGCAAGATGTGAAAACAACCTAAATGTCCATCAACAGGTGAATGTGAAAATTAAATATGGTATGTACATATAATAGATTATATTCTGTCTTAAAATTAAAACAAAGAAATCCTGCAATTCATACCAACATAGATAAACCTGAAGGACATAATGCTAAAATAAATAATCCAGTTACAGAAGGACAAATTTTGCACGATTCCACACGTATAAGGTAAAAATAGTCAAATTCATAGACTTTATTAAAAGTGGGGGCAGATTTCAGTTCACACAACTCAGAATCTGTGTCAGGAGAATCAAAAGTTCAAAGCAAGACTCAGCAACTTAGCAAGGCCCTAAGCAACTTGGTAAGACCCTGTCTTAAAATAAAAAATAAATAAAAAGGTCTGGGGATATGGCTAAGTACCCCTGGGTTCAATCCCTGGTACCACAGAATAAATAAATAAAAAGTAAATTTTAAAAAACCATGGAATGATAGTCACCAGGGACTAGAGAGAAAGAGAAATAGGGTTTACTTAATCAACCGGCATAAAGATTCAACCACACAAACTGAATAATCTATGACTGTCTACCTAAAATTAAAAGTAATCTATTATTCACTTAAAATTTGTTAAGGGTAGATCTCACACTAAGTGTTCTTAGTCAGTTATGTAAAATTTTATTTAATTTAATAAATTAAGAAAATTGTTAGCCAGGCACAGTGGTGCCCCCTGGTAATCCCAGTGGCTCAGAAGGCTGAGGCAGGAGGATCTCAAGTTCAGAGCCAGCCTCAGCAAAATGAGGCCCTAAGCAACTCAGTGAGACTCTATCCCTAAATAAAATACAAAATAGGGCTGGGGATGTTGCTCAGTGGTCAAGTGCCCCTTAGTTCAATCCCTTTTACCAAAATGTTACTGTGCACACACTTTATTCCAATCACGTTCTCATGCTAAATTTTTGGTTCCATTTGTGTCTCGTGTGACTTTCTTGGATCCTTGTGTCTCCAGTTCTTAGAGTTACATATTGCACTCATCAATTGGCATAGCCTTGATGGTTCATTCTGGTAGAGCACAGTATGTTAAGATACAAAGCTGAAGCACTGAACAGCACAACAGCGGTTCCCCGCCTCTCCCTTCAACTTCCCTCCTCTCTTCCTCTCTCTGTCTCTCATCTATCTTTCTTTCCTCTTTGCTTCCTTTTTTCCCTTTCTTCTCTTTTTTTAAGGGAGGCATGTTTCATGAGGATAAGTAGTTTTTGTTAGGGTAGAAGGAAGTTACAAAGACTTTTATCAAAGCAAAACATCTATGTTATGCTGTGTGCAAGAATCCACAGTAGCAAGGGAATAGTGGTATGTGTTAGAAACGCTTGCTTCTGGAATCTGAGAGACCTGTGCTAACTCTGACAAGAACACTTGAGGCTGCACCACAATCTTTCTAGCAAAGATCCTAGACCTGAACTGAAGGAGAGAGGCGAGAGGAGGAGGATAGGCAAGAGACCAACGGGAATAGAGAAGATACAGTAAGAACACAGGAGAGGCCAGCGGTAAGGGGGTCTTCTCTTGGAGGTACTTCTCCAAGCCAGGCAGTGTGCAGGATGGGACATTACTGTGATGGGACATGGATTGCTTCATTCTCTATATTCTGGATACATAGAGACCAGCTAATACAGATTGAGCATCCCTAATCCAAAATGCAAAATGTTCTGAGTACAGATATGGTGCCACCAGAGGAAAATTCCATACCTGATGTGTTGTGAGGGTTCACAGTCAAAATGCAAATGCACTAAAAATATTGCATAAAATTACCTCCTAGCTCTGTGTATAAAGTGTGCATGAAACATAAATTGATTTTGTGTTTGTATTTTCTTTGTGCTTATTATGTATTATGCAAACAAAGTCTTTAAAAACAAAATCTGAAATATTTCTGGTCCCAAGTGTTTTGGATAAGGGAAACTTAATCTGTAGTAAAACTGCTTATTTGCTACACTGTGTTTGCAGGTCTTTCCAGATGTTGCATGCATGTGTTGGTGCTGGTGATGGTGGTAGTAGTAAATGAGAAGAAATTCCCACATGAAAAACATGAGAATTGGAAATATGAACTCAGGAGAAAAAAACACATATTTTTCCCTTGTGTGCTCATAAAAAGGCCACAAGTTAACTTGGAAAATAAAACCCACATATAATGGAAAATATTCCTAGCTCCCAAGTCAACAGATTAGTTTTCTGATCCATCCCCCACCCACCGTGTATCTTAAGAGACCCAGAGAGATGCCAGCTCCCATCTGCTTTCATTATTTTATGATGCAGTACAGAAGGATGTTTGAAATTTCTAGGCATTAGAAATATGAAATATGGTCCAGCCAGAAATTTTTTAAAACCCAGGCAGTGGGATCTTTGCCCACAGCTCTCCAGTCTGCCCCAGGAATGATGCCCATTTGCATTACACTGATTGTGGCTGCTGGGTTTTAATTGGTACTGAACAAACAAAGCAAATGGTACAGATGCCTCCCCTCTGAGAGCTCAGGTTGTATTCAGCAATTGAGAAGTTTTCAACTCAGTCACTGCCAGGTGGAGGGCTGTACTAGCTGCCCTTGCAGTTTTTCTCTTTCACTTACTTGGCCAGGAATCTAGAACAGCTAACTTAGGTAGTTCTCTAACCCTGAATGCGCAATAGAATCACCCATTGACCTTGGGAAACAGGCACTAGAATTATCACCAGATCAAATAAGTCACAATTGGGGGCATAATACAGTCACTTGCACTTTTAGAAGCTTCCTGGGGATTCTAAAGGACAAATAAGGTTGAGATCCTCTCTAGAAAACTCTTTCTTTCTCTCTCCCCCTTTTTCCTCCTCCTCCTCCTCTCCCTCTACCTTCTTCTTTCTTGCTTCTTCCAAAACTAGACTTTTTGTGACAATGTCTGTTTCCCCGAGAACATTCCCATTCTCCTTCTATATACAAAAAAGAATGTTAAGCCTATAATATTCTGTTTTTGACCACTTTTCCTAGAATTATAGAAAGGTTGTTTTCAAATATATGCTTTTATAAAGTGATATGCAACACTGTTTGGCTTTACCTGTGGGCCAGCTTGCCATCAGCCCCTTACTGGAGGGGGAAGGCTAGGAAATGAGTAATGAAGCTGGAGAAATATGGACAGATGATTTTCCATTTCCCCATCATCCTCACAGGTGCCTGTGCCCACATACAGGGCCATGTAGGGTACCAGGCCCTCTGTTTCAGTGATAGCAGGGTGCAGTGATGCATGCCTGCAATATCAGTGACTGGGAAGCCTAAGGCAGGAGAATTGCAATTCAAGACCAAACTGGGCACTTACAGAGACCCTGTCTCAAAATGGAAAAGGCTGGGGGTATAGCTCAGTGGTAGAGGAAACTTAGGTTCAATCCCCAGTACCACAAAAAGAAAAAAATAATAATTATTATTTGTCAGTGGTTCAGTGGGTTGTGTACTCTTGCATATTGAGGGCTGTCAATGTAGTGACATTGGGCCCACTTTTCCTCCCACAGCCCAAGAACTTTAGCCAAGCTGAACCTACATACTAATCATGTTCCAGCCATGGTCTGAGTTGCAGTAAGCACATAAAGGTAAGTCAGAGCCAGTGGTGTGCTGATAAATGCTTTACATCTATGCCTTTGTGTTGGCAGGAAGTTTGTGAAGACATTATTTATGGTGATCACCAATTTCAGTGGTTCAGTGTCACTGACTATGGGATTAGAAAGAGATGTGTACAATGGGCTCTGATGAGCTGAAATGAGTGGGCTCTGATTCAACAGCAGAGACAGCCTTTGCTCACTTGTGACTTGCTGCCTGGTAACAACACAGCAAATGCCATCATGAACTTGCAGACCAGTGGCTATGGGAGAACAGAAAAGGTAAATTTATTTCCTAAGAGAAGGAGTGTGGAGAGTCTTTGGAGATCCGCAGTCATGTTCTGGGTTGAGATAGTGAGAGAGCCAAAGAAACTGCATTTTGGTACTTGGACAGCATGCTACAGAGCAAGAGAACATTTGCTGGGCATGAGACCACCGAGGCCACTACCGACAAATATCATTTTCAGTAATCTCCCACAGGTAATTGCCTTCAACTTAAAGACTTCCCTCTTCTTTCTCCCCACTCCAGATCAAGTTCAAGTCTACAGACTTTCTAGAGGAAATTTCCTACAGACCAGATGCTTTGGGCATGTTCTAAGATCCCCTTCTAACACCCACACCAGGACTAACGTAGAAGACCTCTGAGGCAGCCTCATTGCACATCATAACTATGAATGACTATGGTCTCAGGTAAGGGAAAAGATGCATAGTGATTTTTGGTGCTACCTATTTTTATGTATCAGCAGTACTTCTGTGAGATCAACCTGTCCATTTTGGGGGGATGCAGCCATAGATGAACATTTCAGACACCAATAGTAGTAAGTAGGCTTTTTCTCAGACTTTCTTCCATCTGTTATGTATCAACTCATTCACTCACTCATTCTTTCACCTCACATGAACCCTACTGCCAGACTTTGAGATATGCCATCACAGAAGAGGAGAATGAGCTCCTTAGAACATCAGATTTTCAAGTCTTCTAGTTCTAATCTCTCAATTGAGAAAACTGTCATAGAGTGATAATGTTGAAATCAAGGAGATTTTCTAGCTACCTTTTAGTAGGTAATTTCTAATTCTCCCACTATCCTGCCTTACCCCATACACATACTCAACCTTCAGAATTGTTCAGTAATTTGCAGTTCCCTATTCATCCAAGTGGCCCAAAGCATAATAGAAGAGGAAACACTGTGTAATAGCCTAGATCAGGAGCATTGCTGTTCATTAGATTTGGGTTTCAGTTGTGACCTCATTTAGTTGTGAAACCTTGGACAACTTGTTTGCATCATCAGAGATTCTTTCAGTTGTAAGTGGAAGGAAACCCATCCTAAACTGTCTTCAACTAAAATGGAATGACTGTTCCTCAAAAATTGCAAAGCCTGGAGATAGAGTGTTCTGCAGGAACTTGTTGAAGCAGCTTAATAGCTTGAGGTCACTTTATCTTTACAGAAAGATCTTTGATTTTTATTCCCCTTAAGAGACATTTGACATTAGGATTTTGGTGGCTTGGACAGCCAAGTATGCAGCAATCATTATATACACCAAAGATAAAGATCTACATAGGTTTGTTCAACTCATTGTTGCTCTTGATTTTCAAAACGTCCTCTTCACATCTCCCATCCCCAACACTTCAATGCTAATATTTGCTGCTCACACAGGGGAAAGATTTATAGATGTGAGTCACATACAGGAATGGTGCAGCAATACCAGATTTATTATTGCAAAATGAGGGTGATGATGGCTCCTCCATAAGATTGCTCTAAGAATTGAATGACAGTTCTCTCCCCACCACTGCCACCTTCCTCTTGCCATGAGCTGAGCAGCCTTCCCCCAACCCACACTTCAGCCAAGATGTTCTGCCCCTCCTCAGGCCCAGAACAATGGAGCCAGCCAACCATGAACTGAAACTCTGAAACCTTTTTCTTGTCAGGCATTTTGGTCACAGTGACAAAAGGCTAGCTAACACAGAAATTAATTCTCCTCACTAGTCATCTACTTGTTCTGCTCCTCTGTTTGGCAGACATAGCCAGGTATGGATTGACCTTTGTCAGGGCTTTGTACTTGCTATTCTCTCCTCTTAGAGAGCTCTCCCCCAGAAAATCTGAGTAACTTGCTACCTCTTTTCCTTTAGGTCTTTGCAGTGAACTTTTCCTTGCCACATCATATCGAAAATCGAATGGAGGGAGAAAAAAGACAAATCTATTCTCTGTCTTCCTTGTTTTATTTTTCCTGTAGCACTTATCACTATCATGTTACATATTGAGCTCATTAAATTTATTTGTTTTTGTGTCTCTCTCTTGTGTAGAGGTATTCATACTTAATAGAAAACTGTGCTCACTGCTAAAAAAAAAATTAATTCTCCTGTAAGTGGATTCTCCTGTAAGTCAACCTTAAGATGACTAAGGCCTTGGTTAAAACCTCAGATGCAGCTTTCTGAGAGATTCTGTACTAGCAGGATCCAGGTAAATTGCACTAGAATTTCTGAACCCTATAAACAGTGGGATGACTTTTGGGGACACACCTCAAGGATTATTTCACGCTGCTATGAACACAGTTTGTACTGCAGCATATTTGTTTGACTAGACCAAGATATTTAAAAGGGGAATTGGAATAATCTTATGAAAAAAGACTGCATCAACAATTTGGTCACCAAAGGAGGATTTTGGAGAGTAAAGGTAGAAATTAGATACTAAATAGATCTCTACAGAATAATGGGTTTCCTTTTGCCACATGGTCATTGTTGTATGATTTTGAATTTTGGCATCAGGAATTTGTCTAAATTTGAAAATAAAAAAATAAAGTAAGAATTGCACACTGATAAATAATATCATAGGAGATAAAAAGGAATTGAGTGATAAAAATTAAATGATAATAACATAGTTTGTACTTACATAACCAGATACTGTTCTGAGCCCTTTATATATAACAACTTATTTAATTATCACAACAATAAATAATATATTGTTATCCCTATTTTACAAATGAAAAAAGTAAGGCTAAGGGAAATGAGAAATTGCACAAGGTCACAGAATTAATGCTTGTTAGTTTTAGGTTTTGAACTTTTCAGAAAGCTCCTGAATCTAGGCTTTTTTAGCCACTCTAGTTCATTCCTCTCAAGTAAGAGAATATCTGTGAAGAGACCCAAACTAGTGCATATATGTAATAATGACAAGTAGAAGAGCTAAAATTTGAGTGCCTGCTACATAGCAGGTATCATGCCTTGTAATCAATGGATCATTTTCAAAGATGACACTCAATAAATGTTAGTCCTCTTTTCCTTTACTTGAAGAGACTCTGAAATAAGGACTCATGCCTTGACTTGTTTCCATTTCCCCAGATGGTGATATGAATGTCTTTTTGGTAAACTTTCACTAGTATTTTGCTCTTTTCTCCCTTGGGGGGGAATAAATATATATATATATATTCCCCCTGGATAAGCAAGTTATGATCCAACTAGGATGTAATTTGCCTGGAGCTGTTGAGGAAGCAAGAATCACACATTAGTAGTTACAGCTGGCTTAAAAACAAAATTCAGCCATCTTGAAATCACAATGATAAATTATTCTTTATCAGTTAGGATTGGCTAAAACATGCCAAAGTAACAATAAAGAAGCCTTGGTGATGGGGTTGTGGCTCAGCAGTGGAGAGCTTGCCTAATGTGTGAGGCACTGGGTCTGATCCTCAGCACACATAAAAGTAAATAAAATAAAGGTGTTAGAAGAAGAAGAAGA